TTCTTGCATTTACTTGGTGCGTACAAACGCTCTTGCAACCCTTATCCCGCAAAGCGATTTTTGCCTCCGCGTTTTCTTCGCACTGGTGTCAAGCAAAAGTACAACACGGACTTATCTGGTTATACCCTGAGCGACGTTGTTGGAGCTGCTGCTGAGTAGTATGCTTGGAACCATGTGCTCCCGGAATTTTTCAACGAAGAAACTTTATATGAGGCGCTCGGCGCAACGAGATTTCACCGCGGACGGAACCTGATGATGCCGCACATGGCCGGGTTTTTTGCCGAATGGAACTTATGGAGAGATGGTGTGGATTTGGAGAACACAGCCTTAGGGCCTAATACACTGAAGTTTCAAAGGGCTTGCAGCTTGGACCAGGACGGCATTCAGACAAACTTCCGCAAGTATATCAATTTATGCCGAGATCAACTCAGCCCGTTCCACTTCGCAGAGCTCCATGCTATGACCACGAACGAGCTCAAAGCTATGCAATGCAAAGTAGTTTGCGTGGTATGTAATTTTGGAGGCAAGAAGATTAGCAACTGGCGAAGCCAGGAGGAGCCAAAATGGGTTCAAACCCCTCACGAGACGAAGTGGCGCAAGGTGTAAAAAGATAGCACGCAGACCCAGAACAAAGAAAGGTCAGACAGTCAGAAACCCACTATTCGTAAGCACGCGCACATAGCGCTCCTTGATCGGTAAAACGGTGACTGACCTGAGGTAGGCCAAGCCGAACTCGCAAAGTGAAACGTTTTTTCCCTTGGGCTGCGGTTCCGTCCACTTGCACCGCTACACAAAGTTTTCTTCCTTGTGCTATGCTATGCGACGCTATGCTGTGCTATGCCATGCTGTGCTATGCTTTGCTATGCTATGCTATACTATGCTATGCTATGAACTAAACATGCCTTTTAGGTGAGGTTGAACTTTGGGATGTTGTGCTGACTTGTAATGTTTTTACAGGTATTGAACTTCGGAGAGCACACATTTTCCAAAAGGAAAGTTTCAACGCAACGCTCTTCCCAAAAAAAACGTACCATCATCGCAGCATACGTGATGTCCCATGATGCGGGGCGATCAGTTGCAACGAACGCTGAGTTTTCATCTGAGATCAAAGTGAACATTAATTCCAGAATCCAAGGGTGCCCGCGGGCCACTGTTTACCGCCGGATGCCTTCTCTAGCGTCAACTTAATCCAAGGAACTCACCGAGCAAGACCCTGACTCCAGGAACTTCGACGACCGAGCCTTGGCGTCATGGGATGAGTTCACCTTTACACCGGTTGTGTCATACTGCATGAGGTTCACAGCGAGCAGGCATCCACAGACATCCAAACCCGCCAAGCGCGTTGCGCGGAGTTGTTGAAAAATTTGTTCTTCGTGTTAACGTTACAAGGGAAAAATGCACCCATTCTTGTACATTTGTTTCGCTTTCTTCCCTGAGTTTTAGCGACCATAACGCACGTTGATCATCTAATCTGTGGGTCCTAAGATTCACTGACACTGGTACTATCACAGGTCATGGGTACCCGTACAGTTTGGAGGCATGAAGGAATTAACCACCGTTCCCTTAACATCAACGGAAATTCACTTGTACAGGTTAGAGATATGTGTGCCGGTTGTTCATGCCTGGTTGGTTACTTCTATATGGATAAACCAAGATAAAAACAATAGACAACACCATGCAACTACATAATTGCAAGCGTTGCTCAGACTGACATGTGGGTACACACATACATATATACCTATATACAATGTACTTGCAGACGTACTCCTAGTGTCCAGGTACCCTTGTGAAAAAAAACAAGCTGGCGGTGGTGGCCATGGCCAGGGCAAAATGTCATGCACCCCGCTATACGCCCAAACCATGGGACCCATTGTACGATGCAATGCAAAGCTCATGAGTCCAGACACCTGCGTTGATTGGTAGCTGATGGGCTTGCGCCATCAATGACGAGCAGTCTTGGGCAAATGATGTTGATAGGTATCCCCTTGTCCGTTCATGGTTGGTCTGTCATGTTTTGTCATGGTCTCATATAAGGTTTTGAGTGTGTGGCCATGTTTCTGTTTAACCCAGAGCCGGTTGAACTGGTTCCCTCAGAAACCATCCGAATCGTTTGCTTCTTGCGGCATCGCAAGTTTTGCCTCAGGCTTTGACAGCGAAAAGAGCTGCAATCAGAGGGAGTTGGACACATGTGAGGCAGAGGGTGCTCTACAGATGTTTCCAGGGCCGTTGAAACAAGCTTTGGAATTATGATGTTTGGTCATGGCCTTTGGCGCTACTACAAACTTAAAGGACTTCAACACCACTTATCTTGTGCGTTCTCATTTACCTGCTGCAAGATCTTGCGCGAAGAAGTGAATGTGGATTTGGCTCACTTTAGCTATGTATGAATCAATACTTTCATGTATGCTGTGTCGCAAGACACGGATAGACCATACAGCAATATATAGCATACAAAAACGATATATGCATCAGACGGGGTATAGGGTTGGATATGTAAGTATGCATTTGCGCAGGCATGTTCCAACTTTCCATATCCGAATGGTTCCGAAGTTAAAAATCCATATGCCACATGTCGATCCCCAGCGAAAACAATCGAACCAGGCGCAGCACCGCGTCGCCGCCCAGTCGCAGAGGGATTTGGAACGGCGTTTGGAACGCCAGGCGTGCACAGGGCCGCCGGTGGCGGGAGACGTGGGGTGACAGCATGGACGCAATGTTGTTGGCATGGCAGAAAGGTGCCTGATATGACGATGTTTCGATGTTTCTATCATGATTCCAGTCAGGCATGGCGTTTACACCATCATCATCATGATCATCGTCATCATGATGACCGTCCTCCTCCTCCTCATCATCATCATCATCTATCAGCATCATCATCAGAACTTGTCCAACAGAACTTGTTATGCCCAAGCGGACCGGAAGTTCGCAGACCCCGATGCTTTTGCCCGAGTTGGTTGAGGATGAGAGAACTTCCAACATGTCCAAAATTTCACGCCAGCGGTCCTTACCTAAACATACTAAACTTCTCACATGTTGAGCATGATGATGACCTTGCATAATGATTGCAACGCATCATGACGAACTTGATGAGAATATCACCATAGTAGTGAAAAAGCAATTGACATGCAAATGATGATGATGCTTGTAGAACCATTTCCGCATACCATGCAACTCATCAATCATGCTAAAAAGTAGCACAAATTATCATGAACATATCCGGTACTTGTACATTGGAACCACCCGGAAACAATCAACACGGCCACAGGCCACAAATCCAAAAAGTCATGAACATCAATTTAAACATAAACAATAACTAGCTTTAAAAATCAAAACTTTAAACATAAACATAAGGATCCGATTGAACGTTTGCCACAGAATTCTGGGGGTCACTGAGTTGCCGAGGCGATCTGAAGCCTTTTCCGTAGCGCAAGTTCTGTGTGGATCCGAAGGCTGACCTCCATGTTGCCCAACGATGCCTTCAACAGGGAGGTGTCTGACCCGGGCCATTGCGCGCCATGGGTGCCAGACCCAGAGACATGAGAGGGTCGAGCGGCTGGGCCTTCATGTGCTCAAGGTCAAATTCTTTTTGCTAGACATGTTTTCGTGAATTTCGCGCAATATGAACCGATTCCAACCAAATGGTGTTCATGGCCCGGTGACTCCCTAGCAAGGTTTCGGCATTGGAGGTATAAAACATTTGAGCTGCTTCTAACAGATTCCCTGCTCGGGGAAAAAATGATAAAAATGACAATCCCTGCAAAGCTGTAGATACTTTAGGGTTCCACTGCCGAAACAGATCGACAGACCGTAGATTCAAGCAGCTTGAGGATGGTAGAGGCATTATGCTAGCACCATCTCAGTCGCAGACAAAAGTGACCCGACCTTGCGGCTGGGACGCAGACTAGGAGATACCATGGCCATCAAGACATCCACCGGAAGACTTGCGCAGGGATGTCTAGCCTAATAGGAGGTGAAATCCTGTCCAAGGGCGCACGCAAAAAAGATGGATCCCTGAACCCCGCTGGAATCAGCTAAGCCAACCCCGCCAACCGGCGGCATCAGCCAGCCAGCCAGCAAAGCCGGCGGCCGGCGGAATCAGCCACCCATACCCGACACATGGCCCCTCTCGCACCAACCCCGACAACCGGCGGAATCAGCCAGCCAGCCAGCCAGCCAGCGCGGCGGCTGGCGGAATCAGCCAGCCATGCCCCACACCACAGCCATCAGCCAACAACCGGCGGAATCAGTCAGCCAGCCAGCCAGCCACCCAGCCAGCCAGCGCGGCGGCCGGCGGAATCAGCCAGCCAACTCCAACAACCGGCGGAATCAGCCAGCCAGCCAGCCAGCCAGCCAGCGCGGCGGCCGGCGGAATCAGCCAGTGATGCCCCAAACCACCTGTCGGAGTCGGCGGCCGGCGGAATCAGCCACGTCCCCATCCGGCGGCCGGCGGAATCAGCCAAAACTACCGGCCGGCGGACGGCGGAATCAGCCAGAAACCTGTCCGGCGGCCGGCGGAAAACAGCTGCGCCCCCAAGATGCCCCACCTCTAGCATGTTATATGTTTGTTGGATATATATATATATATATACACATATTTGTAATTGTACATACCTGCATACCTATACCAAACATACTTACATACCGACAGACATACAAACAGACGGACAGTTCTATATACATCCCTATGGAATAATATTTTCCCGTTGCAAGTGCCGCAAACCCGTCCCGTTGCACGTTGCAACTATGAAAATGAGGATGCCTTGACTCAAAGAGCGCTCTGCACCGCAGCTTCCATAAATGGCCCTGGCTTTGTCTGAAAATAAAGCACCCCAAACTTTTAATGACAAATATGAAATATCATCATTCTTAATCAGGATGTCATTAAAAGTTTGGGGATCATTAATCAGTAAATATCAAATATTTCAGGATCATTTTACATCATGAAATGTGGGCCCCGTCTTGCCGGCCCTATTGACCCAGTGCCTCAGTGGAGCCAGGCCATGAACATCTTTCGATTCTGTGGCGATATGCTTCACCTCACCAGCATCATGTGGCCTGGTTGAAATCCCGGGTGAATATCGCAGTAACTGGGATTTACTGTGTAGGAATTTAACATAGCTATTGAAAATGGTGATTTATAGTGGATTTACCCATTGAAAATGGTGATTTTCCATAGTTACGTTAGTTTACCAGAGGGTACTGTGTAGGAATTAGATGGAATTAGCAACCCCAACTCGATAGAGAAGTATGACACGTGGATTTTATGAAGGAAACATGATCAAACTGATCAAACCATTATCCTGGAAACACTTTTTCGGCATCCTTTTGGAGGTTACTTAGGCTATATATCGTATATTGCTTGATGGATTAGCCGAACATAGCGGAACCAACAGGTAGAGGTCATGGAGCTGGGGCTGTCAGGCTGCTGGTCTTCAAACTCCACCGCAGTAAGAGCTGCGTAGGCGTCTCCTGTAGGATGCAGGAGCCGCTAAATGGGACAAGCGCGAGTGTTCCGTCCCAGTTTGGAAGGGGAACATCAGTTGTCATTACAGTATCTATCATCAGCCACCTGCATACATATCATATATGCATATTCATATTATGCATTTTTTTCTAACGTATCTCATATATATATATATATGTACATACACATATGTACACACACATATACGTATGTGTACATATGTATATATATATATTATAATTTTATACATAGATGTGCGTGTGTGTATTTAGATTGCAGGGCTTTTGTGTTGTGGTCCAGTGCTGGGTCCGATCAACTCCGAGGCAAACGTTGGATTGTACACCTAGGGGATGGGGGTCCACTCATAGGGATTTACCCGGTAAACATAGAAAAACTATGGAAAATCACCATCTTGAATAGGTAAATCAACGAAGCAAAGGTACCATTTTCAATAGCTATGTTAAATTACCAGAGGTTATACACCCATTGTGTTTGGATTCCATGATTCCATATGGTTTGGGTGTGACGAACGCGTCACCGGCCATTTCTACGCCGTTGTGGACATGGGAAGTCTGTGAATTGTCAGTATGATAAACTGATAAACTATGTAAAGTGATTCAACTGGGATTTGTCACCCTTCCCGGGCATATTGAATTACAGTACATTCAGGCTTATGATTGGTACATACCAACCATTTCCAAAACAGTTGCCATCATTTAGCAATTAACCGCAATAAATTATGGTGACATATAACTTCACTACAACAATTGCCCTTTTTACTAACAATCAGCCACTGCTAGGACCAACCAATTGGCAATTTCCCTCAGCTGCAGGAGATCTATGCCGTGGTCTTCATTTGTCGCTACCTGGACCTCTTGTGGAGTTTCATCTCGGCACCTTGGTTTATTTCCACCGAAATTTATGATAAACACATGTGTTCAACCATCCATAGATGGAGATTTCCCCTCATTTTAGTGGGTCAAAACATGCACAAAGAATGGTTTCCCAAAAGTTTTCCCTCAAATCAGCCACAAAATTATTATGGCTACTTTGCATCCAACAAGGAGACTTACTTGACCTAACCATGGTCTTGAACCGGTCCTTTATCGGAGGTATGCTGAGGTGTCCTCATTCCCCTTAGCTGCCATAGCCCCTGAGGTCTACAACACGGTGATGAAGATCACTTACATCACCACCACATGTGACTCGGGCAAACCTTGCAAGGAGGTCCTTCAAACCGAAACCCGCATCCCACAGCCTTAGCATGTTCCAGAACCCCAGGAAATATCCAAGGAGGTGGCTGGAATGTTGAAAGATGATGAAAGTTGTTTCGTTTCTTTTTTGGAGCCACTCCCTGAAATTGCGCTCTAATAGCCTTCAGGCTATTTGATCTATTTGATGCGCTTGAAGACGCCCATATGTCAAACCTATGAGAGAAGCACAGCCGCTGGGCAGGGAAATGGACTGGGTTGATCCTAGACTAGAGGGTTCCCTACTGCCACATGGTTTAACTAAGTAGCCAATGCTGCTGCGGGCTGTTGTGCACACATTGGTTGGGGGTGGTATTCTGAGGGTCTCCTTTATTCTCGTTTTATTCAATGAGAGAGAGAGAGAGAATTTATAAGAAGATTTGGTCTCATCATCTACCATCATCCATCATGTTGTGGCGTCTTCATGCGACCATTTGCTCTCACTATGTACCATCCCTTTGATATCTCACCCTGGTTTCGCCCTATCGACCAACCAGCTCCAACCAGCTCAAACCAGCTCAGCATTCCGGCAGTTCAGCAAGGATTCCTTTCAGTATGAACTCTATCTCCTGGGCCCTGCCCTGGTCCTGGGTCTCATATGCACAGAGGCGCCTGCGGATGTGATGCTAACTTGTTTGGTGTTGATATGTTGACTCCCAAGACATTACTAAGGTATACTAAGGTTACTAAATCAATCGCAAGACACGTACAACGTATCTGTCATTCTCAGTTCCAGCTAGGTGTTGGAATATTTTTCTGTCTTTTGTGGTCCATCTCTTCCACCAAACCTCCCAAGCATCAACAAGCACCAGGAGTATACTATCCCAGACATTTTGTGGTCGTCCTCTATTTGGCTGGAGAGCTACTCGTCCCAATCGCGGGTAATTATGGAGCTGCAAGCCCCGGTTGAACGGGTTCTAGTCCTTTTGGGGAGCACGGTGAGTTTGCAATGATGAAGCGGCCAATTCTGCAGGGATCAGTGGGTGTTTGAGATGTTTGAGTGATCTGGGGGCCGGAGTTTGTGCAGTAGATTTTCCATGATTTTTCAACACGCCACTGCCAAATATATCCAAGTAATCCTCCTAATATCAAAAACACCAATTAGTCCCAAAACGTCCCAGTCATATGTGGTTTAATCCCATACATCCACCATGGTTTAGGAGGAGGTGGCACAAGTCTCAGGTGTGGCCATAATCCCCCAGCTGGTGCTTCTACAGCAGATCCGAGAAGTGGAGAAGCCTGGCGTGACCAGAAGGGGACAGCCGCAATGTCCGGTGGGTTGAACGCCTTCATTGCGAAAGGGTTGGCGAACATCCCATGGATCCTGGAAAAGCATGGAAAAACTGTGTATATAGAATTATCCAGCACAAGAGGAGGGTCGATTCAAGAATCATTGAAAATACAGCGACTCACAAATCGTTAAATGCCAAGCTGCCAATGTTCGATAAGGGACTGCCTGGTTTGGAGCCAAGGAATCTGACCTCCGATTTTGTCGGCTGCATGGGGGCCTATCGTGTCTTGGTTGCGGGCATTTGGGTCATGGCACGTCTATCATTCGCCATCCCTAAAATGATGAAAATGATTGCCAAAGCGAGTGCGCTCCGTAAGAATTTCTTTGGGCTTGGGGAGGCCCATCGTGTCCACTGTTTGTTATCAATCGTTTGATGCCTAGCTGTGGGACAAACTGTTGGAAGTGTTGGCAAAATTTTCCGAGGTGCTTTCTATATCTTGAATTGGATCTACCGGTACTTTGCCGAGGCTTGGGCACAAAAACAGCTGGGTTGTCTTGGAGTGTATGTGATGAGTTCCAGCCTGCCAGGACTATGTGAACGTGGTGGGTTGGATTGGTGGTTTGGTGCAAACTGGCCTGTATTGCGAGCCTTCGCTGCAACCAGGTCTCTTAGGGGAAGCCTTTGGATGCGGCTGATGTTCCTCCTGTCTTAGCGGTTGTGATTTCGGTTGCACCGCCGAGGATTTCTTCTACTACTATGCGAAGAGCAGCTGGGACATGACTGGCGTGGGGGAGGTGTCCAGCGGGTTTGAACGAAGTTAAGATTGTGCTTTTCCGATCTTTTCTGCAGTGTCTGTCACATGCAACCACATACGAGATGACTTCGTGTACTCCTCTCCTATCAGATGTATTTGTTGCTAGCATCTACCGTTCCAACTCTTACCCAGAAGAAGCCTCAAAAATCCTAAAAATATCTGTCTTCTGCAAGAACATGTGCTCCAGAATCCATTCTCTTGGACCACTCAGCCAGTCTCAACCAGTCTCAACCAGTCTCAACCAGTCTCAACCTGCGCGCCAGCTGTTGGATCCCCTAGGCAAATGGTATGGGAGCAAGTTGGTTCTCCCAGTAGCCTCTTGAAGTGGCCGATCGTCGGAGCAGTGACACCAGGTGACACCTGATGATTTTTTTGAACTTTCAACAGAAATTCCTAGGATGATTTTGCTGTTGGATATGGTGATCGTATGGTGATTGTTCGGTTGCATCTCAGATTTCAAGCGTGTGGTTAGCATGTTCGATGAACTCACAGTGCTACTTGGAAAACGAAATCAGGGGGAAACCCCGCATAGCACCTACGACTCAGTCGTCAAGTGGTGACTGCCGCCAAACCCTCTGCGGATGTGGTAAGAAGCACATGCCTGCCAGGAGGTCAGATGTTGTAAGGCTGATGGGCCAGCATCCCAAAGCAATGTAGCAGTGAACAAAATGAGAAGCTGGGAATAAGAAAAAGTCAATCTAAGAGTTGGAACTGCATTTGAGAGTCCACTACTGAAACTATCTTGGATGGTGCGCACAGTCGATAATTCATCCTCTTTCTCGGGTGCTGCTGAAAAAATCAGTAGAGTAGAGAGTTCCTACAGCTCTGTCGATGCCAGAAAATCGGTCGAGCACGTCACTGGGTGGGCAGATCTCACGGGAAACTATGGCATAATTCCATGGCTGCTCCTGGTTTTTCTTCAACTAATAAATGAAATTAAACATATTTTGAGATTTAATATTTCACCGGCTCCAATCTCAAGATTCTACATAATATTATATACTTATATATATATATATTTATATGATTATATAATTTTGTGATTTTTGTGAGTGAAGCACCTCGCCAGGCTGCCCAAGGAGCGCAATGGCTGTTGCTCCCGCCATGTGGCAGCCTTTTTCACTCCCCAATTGAGCCCAAGCTGAAGACACACCTCACGAACTAACATGGATGCCCTAAAATTAAAGTCTGGAGTCTGGAAGATGATTTTCCTATTCAAAACCGATGAACTGTATTGAAATCTGAGATTTGGGTTTTCATGTTGGTTTGAATGTCTAGCGGCCCATCCAAAACGTCACTGCATATTCAGATGTGCCGCAAACAGGCCCAAGGCCTCGAGTCAGGCATTGACAAGCCCATTCAACAAACTGCCATGATGAGGAATGGTGGTTGCATGACACCAGGCATCAAAAGCGGACTTTCAATGGCAGCAACGGTTCTATATTTTGAAGCTTGCAGGAACGCGAGGAAAGTGTAGAAACCACAAAAAAAAACCCAGAATTTTCTGGCCCAGCTTCCGCCTATGAGACGGTGGCAAGTCGCTTCGCCTTGGATGAGGCAGGGGGTTTCCGAAGATTTCCTACCCTCTGGTAATTTAACGTAGCTATTAAAAATGGCCATAGACATAGTGAATTTTCCCATTAAAAATGGTGATTTTCCATAGTTATGTTAGTTTACCAGAGGGTAAGTGATTCCCCACTATCAGTCACTATCCATTGCCAGTCCTGCTACGATTGGCACCTGTGAGGCGCGGATGCCAATCGGAATGAGTCACGACTGGAGAGGTTCAACGTCGAGTGATCTCATATTGATCTCATTACGTGATCAATCGAAGTTGAAACGCTGTGCATTTTCTCTATTTCCTGTTGTTGGTTCCAAAAATCCCAAAGTAACAAACCTGAGCCATCCTGAACCAACGAACCGGACTCTTGGTGCAATCTTGTTTGGACATATTAGATATTCCTTGAGGATTTCAGTTGTCGCGCAAGCATTGCGAGATTCTCCATGCCGAGTAGATTGTGACTAGTTTCAATGAGCCATCATGAACTACCCCAAATATTGTATGAGCAGAACTTTGGCCCATTCCTTGAGGATATTTAGATTTGGCTTTGGAGATTTTCCCTGACTTTCTCCTTGCAGCTATGGCCTTTCTCTTAGGCAACCTTCCCAGCTCAACTGTGGAGCTTCCTTCGCTTCCGCATATACTGCCGAAAGTGTCCCTGGTCGAATCGGTTTTTTTCCTCCATGGCCAGGACTCAAGATGGACCCCAAACACTTCATGGAGCATCACAGTTGCCACGTGGGCAAATCCCTGGTAAGTATATATGGCGACGGAGAGAGAGATATGATAACCCAGTCAAAGCCAGTTATGTGGAGTTGAATGTGTGTATAGATTGATCATATACAGTATATATATATACATATCTATCTATGCGTACTACATATGTTACATATGAGATATAGCCTGTAGCTCAGCTATATTTGGGTTAACCACCACTTGCCAACTTGGATGCACCCCAAAGTTGGATGGTAACGTTCAGCGGCTCTTGTGGCAAGGTCTGCTTTTGGTCGTGCACCTTTGACTGAGAAGGACAGCTCGGCTTTGGGTGGTGGTTAGTACACTTTGCCCATCATAGGCTGATGACTAAGGTGGATCTCATGCAAAAGGCTACCCGGTCCCTGGCTTCTGGGACACTGCACCCGAATTGTCTTCAGGCTTTCCAAGGCTACCTTTCTCTCACCTCCCACAGCCTGCAGGACGCTCGGCTCGACGCTTCGAACAACGATGATATGCGCTTCATTCGCGTGCGACCGGTGCGGGCACATTCATGCCCCACGGAGGATGAGCTGGTGGATGCTGAGTGGCATTCACTGGTGGAATCTTGGTAGCCTTCGGGGTTTGGCATTGTTTGGACAAGGGGCATATGCACCCGCAATTTCTTCCGACACCGCGCGGGTGCATTTCTTCCTGCCTAGTCCGTTCCCATACAATCAAATCCAAAACTTAAGACGCATTCATCTCTAGCAACTAGTTCCTCCCGCGGAGCAGGATGTTTTTTTGTGCTACTTATATTAATATAGACCCTAGTCACATCTAGTCACCATGTCATTCGCAGCCCACCAGGGCCCACCAAGGACATGGAGATGTCGAGGTCTCCTCGTTCCGCGCACCTGCAGATGCGCGAGGATCGTCGCCAGGAGCAGCTGCAACGGGCGCGGGAGAAGGATCGGCTGAAAGAGATGCAGGCGAAGTTGGAAAGGCACCCGCTTGGGAAGCTGGATAGCCTGGATGGCTCCTCATGTGGCTATGGATCAAAAATGATCAAAACCTATAATTATCATAGTTTGGGGGATGAACATGCGGTTACCATCTATTTGTCTTCGTAGGACGTTTTGAGAGTTGGGTGGGAGGCCGAAAAGCCAGGCGACAGGTTCCGAAGGTATTGGATTATAATGTACCGCATATTATGAAAGTATTTCGCCAATGAAGGAATTTCGCCAATGCGCTTGGTCACAAGCTGAAGGTACCAGCGCAATGAGCCTGAGTACGAGACAACTTCGATGGGGACCGGTGCGCGACAACCGCGGCAGATGCTCGCAATGATTCTGGCTGGTCACCAGCAATGTCTCACTCGGCGGTATGTGTGTGTATGTGTGTGTGTATGCTTTTATGCAACTGAATGCTTTGCGGCTTGGTTGTCACGCTTCACCTTCGAGCCCCAAACTTGGCCAATTCCCCCAAGGGACAAAGTCGGACAAAGGTTCGTTCTTTCCAAAAGGTCTCACTGGTGCCTGGGCACTGGGATGACTTTGGCTCAGGACAGTGCCCTTCTCTCAGAAAAGACAGCAGGAGATTTTGGAGGACGCCTTTCCAAGCTCTAAATTTCTTGTTCCCAGTTGTGGAGGGTTGGTTGCGCATGACACCAATGTTACCAAAGTGTTTGGGTCACCTGCCATCTTTTTGCCCTGGCCTCAGGAGTTCCAAAGGCAGAACGACTTGCAGATGGAGAAGGCTGGCAGCCCTCAATTGCGATGATTGGGTCTGGGTCAAAATTGTACCATCCCCCAAAATGGATGGTTTATACTTACTCACAAAAAAGGTAAGTGATTTATCACTAATTAATTATTAGGATTCTACCTTTACTTTGTATTTTTTTTAAAGGAGTGCTATAGTACAAAAAGCGACCAGATTTGTGGGTCCATGGTATCACACCCAAAGAATGAAGTGAGGCTACCGGGAAGCGCATGCGACGGGTGGTTTGGCAGGAAGAGCAGGCTGAAAAGATCCGGTTGCAGCAGCAGCGGCAAAAACTGAAAGAAGACGCTTTGCAACGAAGGGACGGAGGGTGCTGGGAACATCCTGGAAATTGTTGCTGGTCCTGGTCACCAGATCTCGGCTAGCTTTATAGTGGGGAAGCCATGATACTAGGCACAGCAGTAGCTAGTTTTTCTTGGTGGGGGGGGACCTTGGGGGCGCACGGGCAATCAGTCCACGATAACCTCCTCTAGCAAGGAGAGGCGACAGCAGCGGCGTGAGAGCCGAGTGGCCCCAGAGGCAGGGAAGGATTCTTGCTTGGCAATCCGATTTGGGCGTCTCAAATTTCAAGACTCCAACATTTTCGATTTCCCCACAACTTGGTAAGAAATGCAAATTGCACGGAGGTTACCAAGTTCAAATTGGCTAGAGGCTTCGAATGATGTTCGGGCAAAAGATCATGAAACCTAGCCCTCCTGCCCGCAGACTCTGTGGTTTTTCAATGTTTTTCAATGCTGGACACCCAAATTTAAAGAGGAGTCGCATTTTTGTGGTTTGGGATGGTTTGGGACCCTAATTTTGGTCTCACGAGGCGTGGCGGGCTCCCAAAATTGTTATCACCACCACCGCAGGTCGGTTGTAACCGAGTTTTTGGTTGTGAAACCATGTGAAACCTACTTGATATGAATATGTCTGAATCCTTTTGATTGGTTCTGTTCCACCTTCGGTACACCTGTACGCCTTTGTTGCTTATCGGTTTGGTCAGAGCCACCCCTTCAGGTTGATTAACCACCAAATTTGTTCATCAATCACCATTTTGATTGACGTTCCCTTATGTTCAACAACAAAATCCCCAAGGTATTCTCAACAAAATCTCTCAAAAAAAGTAACCATTATGACTGACAGATCCCCATAGTTTTTCCAACATCGGTGTGGGCCTTTCCCACCGAGGCCGCTGCCCCCATGTCCAGTGGCCAAGTGCATGGCTCCCTCTTGGGCTCCTTAGCAAGGCGGATTTGGAGGTGCTGATGGGAGTTGATTCGCTGAGCAGAATTTAGTCTGAGAATGAGGGGAAAACCACCCACAATTTGCAGGTTAATCAAGATCAATCATTTAATCTCTTAGATTGGCGAGAACTTGGGAGAAGACCACATGTTCAAATGCGCCCACAAGTAGTTAAACTTGATTTCAATGGAATTTTAATTAATGGTTTACAACAAATTCTAAAGTTCAAATCGCTTGGGGCCAGCGGGGGCTAGATAAGGAAGAAGAGGGGTCGTGTTTGGACAACCAGGGATCAGCAAAAATTGAAGATCCTGGGATTTCATAAGAATTTGGGCCATGTTTCTTGGTCATTTTCTGGGTGCTGTGCATCTCCCGGCCCTGAATCGCAGCACATTGGACTTGATTTCATGGTTCCATCAGAAAAACGCAATGTCTTCGCTGCTTTTTGCAGGCTCGCCCCAAATTTCAACGCATTCTCATGTATTAGCACGTTTCTTCCTTTTTATCCATTTATTCTATTTATTCTGCTATTTTTTGTGTCACTTCTCAGATGTCTACTCCAGGCTCCTGAGCCGCGAAAACCGGGAGATGCGGCGCGAGGCGGAGATGGTCGACATGGACGTGGACATCGCGAAGCCATTGGCAGGTGAGACCATGGAGTGCCTTGGTGCGGCGGTGTGCTATATTACTATATATGCATTAGATACTATACACCTCAACTATTTGCATTATATATATATAATTATATATATATATGTATATGTATATGTTCATGTTCAACCCCTCCTCTTACCGTTTACATACAGGACTTTGTTCATGAAGGACTTTTGTTCTTGACACTTTGGGTGTCTCTTACTTGCTTTGAGCAGGGTTGCGTGGATCTTCTGTTGGCTGAGGCAAAGGGAGCTCCTAGTCCGACAGGTGGAGGAGTGCCGAAGAAAAGATGGCTTCTGACTGGGACAACTTGGATCCTTCAGCATCCTGTTATGTTTTACTTTTGGTAGCTTGAAGTTAAATACATTTATATAAATAGCATCTATATCATATATATATATATATATCGATCTTTCTATGTTTCTATCTTTCTGCATACATTGAGCCGATTTGCCGTTCAATTTGTAAAAAACGTTTGTCTCTTTTTCCGAGCTGCAGGACAGCATGGCGAAGAGTCGACAGCAGCCCCTGGCGATGCGCCGGAAGATCTTCCGGGAGTTGCAGAGGAAGCTGCATCCGGATAAGATGCCTGGGCCGCACAGCAACTGCTTGGAAGATCAGCGGTTGGCTGTCAGATTTGCTTTGCTATTATAATTATTAAATATGAGTCTGAGGTGTTGATGATTCAACATTCTTGCGCAAAAATGCCTGGCTCGCTGATAGGAGAGGGGCTCAAAATAGGTTCTCCAGAGGCAGGATGTTTCTAAAGAACTTCAGCTGCGGACTGAGGAATGAGGGCTGCGATGCCTTCAAGCTGGCCTTTCAAGATTTGATGGATCGGCAGCGGGAGTACTTGCGAGAGTAGATGTGCAAAATTAGAACACGATGTTTAGATGAGGTCCCTGACCAATCTCAGTTCTGAAACAGAAGCTGGGGTGAGGGTGTCACATGTGTGCTGCCACTGCATGAGTGACCTTCACAGGATCTTTCCAGGCACAACTCAGTCATTTGACACTCCGCAGAACAGGTAATTTTAAAGAGACGTGTTAATGACGGGTGGGGGACTCCAAAACACTGAAGTTGCAACGCCGACAGACTTCATATATATGACTTTGGAGTCTAACTGCTGACCCTCTCTGGGCAAGTGTGCATAGTCCTTGTTCGTTGGAACCACAAAGTGGTAGACCCAGCGGGTGCGGGCCGGTGTTTCGTGCAAACAAAGTGGCTGGCTTTTTGGCCAAAAGATTTGAGGAACGCACCCATCAAAGATTCCGCAACGCAGTGTGCAGTAGATCCAGTTGAATCATGTTGAATCCAGTTGACGGGTCAGCCATCAACCCGCGACACCCAGGTCTTGGAGAGGATCCCGAAGAGGCTCAACGCCTGGGCTGGGGCGAATGCTTCCCCCAAGGTGCCATCAGGGTTGGGTTGGGGACATCCTCTGTTTCAGTGCGGTTCCAAAAAAGGTCTTGCTGGAGAAGCCAGGCTCTGAGTGGGGAGCGATGGCTCAGGACTGCTGCAACTTGCAGCTGCACGGGTGGGGGCACTCAGCTGGGAGTGGAAAGGTTCGCTACGACGGCTTTGAACGTAGCACGGCGGTGTGCCAAGGTGGCCTAGATTCGTAGATCAAAAAACTTTTGAGATTTTGAGATCGCTTTCAGTCTGAAGTCTGAAAGTTCTTCTTTTTGAAGATGAACGATGAATGGATCCATTTCTTGCGTGCGCATTTTTTCATGCCTCAAGAGAAGCTCAGAGAAGCTTTGAAGCCTTTGGCGGTGGATTTCGAAAGCTCTCAGGCCTCAAGGGAATCCAACCTGCTGGGCCGGGTGCTCGACGTCATTTGATGTTGGTGTCCGATGTGAGCAGTGCTTGAGATTTGAGTGTCCAGTCATTCGGAGAAGTTGTATCGGAACGCTGCTCCGACTTGATGGCTGTTTTGAAGTTGCCTGCCTCTATCCAGTTGATCTCCCTTTGTCAGATTGGAGAAAATCCAGCCTGAGGATGGGCGCTACACCTTCGAGCGGTGCTGTCCTGATGAGGTTTGGTTGGCTGGTCATCAGATGTTATCAGGTCTCTTGTCGCGTATTTGCTGTACACTGCTCTCCATATTCTCCATGCGCATGAGTGCCTGACATTGCTAGGTATCATTGATAGTCTGCCTGGGTCCCTAGACGGATTCCAGGTCCAAGGCTCTGCCCGTCAAGAGCCCCTGGCAGCGGCCGATGCGGCAACAATGGCACCGCAGCGCGGCTGGCCGTTGTTGCGAGGGATGTGGTGTGGTAGAGCCGGTCATAAGCCACGCCACTTTATTGTTGGGTACGTAACTTTCATGTTGGGCATGTAACATCCCAAAGAATATATCAATGATCCAACGAGAAAAAAAAAAAACTAGCTTTTTGTTCGGTGATATAGGTTTGGCATGATTTATAGATTCTGCCCGAGATGGTCTTCAAAATGGCCACTCGCTGGGTATTTTCTTGCCAGGTTGCTATGTAGCGGTGAGCGGCTGCAGGGCAGCAAGCGCTACGTCAGGCGCCACGAATTTGGCAGGGGGTGGCGGACCAGGCTTGGTCTGAAAAAGTTTGGGGTTTGTCAGTTTATCATCATTTTCCCAATGGGAATTGGGTGTTTGGGCAATGCGGCCACACCCCATTTTTGGAGATGCCCATTTGCTTGCAGTTTCTTGGATTTCAGAATGTGAGGATTGTGTGCTTTGGGTACTTGCACTCACCTTGAGGAAACCAAGATTCTGTGGAAGTGGAATGAGGGAGCTGCTGGGATGATTTTTATACCAGTTTGAATTCTGGTGCGACCGGAAATGGGGTGGGCCATATAGATCAAGCATGGCAACGAAGGCTTGACATTCAGAAGGGTTCAGAAATACCTGGCATGTGTCAATCGGGCCTCCAGGCAGGCTAGCTATGGTGATAGCCTCAGGTTTCAAGTTTTGAGTTCGATCCCGCCGATCCTCATCATTCTCGGACGCCAAAAAGACTCAGAAAGTGCAATACTTCTACTACGTGTTCCATGTGATGATTATTCAACAGCCCCCCCACAAAAATAATCTACCTTCCATTCCAGGCCTTCCAGTTAGTTAACATTTAACATATATAACATATAGATATGGAACATAAACAAACCCCCATGTCCCGAGATGGTGAGCGCATGTGGCATCCTTCCAGCTCATTGGTCCGTGAGCCTGGTGTGAGGTCCTCCATGGCCATGGCTACCATCCATTATTGGTCCATAAACATGGCTGGTTTCAAGCAGAATTGGACCCATTACATCACTGTATTGTATCCATAGTTCATTCATAGTTCATTCATAACATAATTCATCATAATTCACAATAATCCACAATTCCAAGACTCACCATAATTCATTATTGGCTTCAAAATTGAAACCATGATTCCAAAATCACCTTTGGCACTTGGCTTCATCACTGCGAAGACTTGTCTGCTTTTGCGAGGAAGCAACCTTCGACTTTGCAGGGAGTCAGGCGCAACATGCATTTCGGTGCTGGAGTGATGGATCAACATGAAGTAATATCAACCCCGATTATATATGATTATAGAACAATTCAACTGAGGGGAGACCAGTTCAGTAGCAGGTTATGCCTCTATTTGGGGGGACCACCATAATTAATCAACCGTTTTTTTTGGTGGGATCCGCAGTTGGCATCGAATTTTGATGCGCTGATCACTTAATTGGTGTGCAGAGTATGACCCTCCGACCCCAGGGTTTAATTTGTGTTGACCGTCACAACGAAATCGCAACCAATTCACATGGAAAGTCGCTGGTAGTTCTGTCTGAGTACCCCTTGTTTAAGCTAACAGGCCATGAAAAGTCGCCCACTTCTAGATGATTTGCCCATTGAACACGTAGATTTCCCCACCGCGGGTGTCCTTTTTGCAATTGATGCTTCCCCTGCTGGTTTTCCTCAAGCTTGGACCCTCTTGCAGGGCAAAAGTGTGGTGTCTATGGTGAGGGGCCCTGAGCGACGAAGTCTGCAGCATGGATCAGCATGGCAGCTGGGATGTTGATTGAAATTGGGGGTATTCAGGACTTGGCTGATTTGTGGTTTCTTTTTTGCACAACGAGCTATGGCAGCTATGCACTCTGATGGCCTAAATTTCGATCCTCTACCCAAAAGCAGCCTGGGGCCTTCGCAAAATGGGATAAGTACCTATCTAACGTGCTATCGTTTGTTCATTGTCTTTGCCTTTTGCAACTGTGCAAGTTTTGCCAACACCATGAAGGGAATTTGCATGAAACAACCATCCGATTATCTTACTCTTTTTACACCCTTGGTATCCTTGGTGCTGCCAGGTACAAAGTTTACCTGCCTGCGGTGGTTCGAGGGCCAACTGGGTCAGGTGTGTATAGTTTGATCTTAGGAACACCATTGCCACGATAGTTGTGGCGGTGTGACTTCTCTCATACCATGGAGACCAAGAACCGGATACATTGGGACCATGGCGAAGGGTTTATTTCCCCACTTTTGCCACCATTCTAATTCTGTACAATGGGATTCGCCCAATAATCGGGGTTTATTGGGGGCTTATACCTTATAACCAGCAACATCAACCAATAAGGGCTTATTTACCAGCTATTACTGGAGGCACCTTTGGTAGGCTTGTTAAATTCCCATTCCCCAAGGGGCCACTAGTCTCAGGTCCCGAGCTGTTCGAGGACACATGGTAGATGCCGGCAGCCTGTGTGGTCTGTCAATTGGAAAATCCATGGTTTTGATCTCAAATCTATCAACCATAACCGGCTGCTGGAGCAGGAGGCAGCATCGATTTTGGAAGAAATTGAGTGTGGAGACTCGGACCTGAGGGATCTGTGCTTGCCAGGTCTGTACTTTGAAGTGTGTGTTGAAATGGGTCCTATTCCTCCCGCTCTCATCATCCTGATCTTGATCCTGATCCCAATGCTGATGCTGATCATGATCCTCCTCCTCCTCCACCATCATCACCATCATCATCATTATCATCATCATCAGAAGGAAACCTACACATCACCACTTGGCCTTGACAGCCTTCAAAAACATAGTCTATGTCTTGCGGAGGCTCCATCACGTCAGCATCTTGAGGGATTTGCACGAGGCGCAAAAAGGGCTTGGTGCAGCGATTTTCAGCACAGCCACCAGGGAGCCATGGGATACTGAAACCATTTGGAAAGTGGGAAATGGGGAAACCCTCTGGTAATTTAACATAGCTATTGAAAATGACCATTTATAGTGGATTTACCCATTGAAAATGGTGATTTTCCATACTGTAGTTATGTTAAATTACCAGAGGGTAGTACGGTTCAAAATCATTCAAAAGCCGAGGTGCATTTTTTTTGTGCAAATGGTTGAAGGTCCATCTTCCGGCTCTTTGGACGTTCACCCAGGTGCCAGGTTTTTTTTTGTTGGTCAATTTTGATCCATAGCGAACCTGAGTGGCAAATTAATAAAAAATCATGTCACACTACTGTTAATATTCTTATTTATATGCCATTCTATTCCAATAAAAATGGTGGTTTGGTTGCCCCATCAAATCACCATAACATTTTTCAACCACCATGAAATCACCTATAAATCCGCTGACATCGCAGGCCATGTTGAAGTTGTCCTTACGCCCCGCGAAGGGCGAAGCTCATGTGCACTATCCCCAGCTTTAGCCAGCAGAAACGAGTGGTATAGACCTTGGCTGTAGTACACAATGAACGACCTTTTTTTGACATGATTGGTGTTGTAATCTTCAACACTTTGTATGGCGAAGCCTGGATTACTCCATATCACTGAGGCAGTATTTGCCATTCTTCCCATACCTGCTGATGGCGCTGCACCGCCGTTGGGGGATCTGGATGAATGCCATGGTGCATCGTGGTGGCTGCTTTTTAGGTACGGATGGAATACTGGAATCATCACTGCCATTCTCAAACATGCTATTCTTATGATATACAATTGTATAATCCAAGAATTTTGTGAAGTGAACACCTACAGAAAACACACTTTGCAGATTTTCCGAAAAATACCAATCCATTGATAGAATACGTCGACCATTACCTGCCAAATCTCCGGGTTTCAGGTCTGTAACAATGGGGGACCTCAACACCATTGTTTTTAATGCTGAAAAAAATGTTTTTAATTTTGGGGTATCCCATGGTATCCCAATTTGAAGAAACTTCCATGGCCGATATGTGTGCGAGCCGCACCGCCGAGGCACTCTGAAGCTGGATTACTTGCACTGTATCTCCCGCACAGCGGCGGTGCTGGTGCGCCGGCATCTGATAAATCGTTGGTTTTCTTTATTTACCATCTGGTTATTTAACATGGCCACGGAAAATCACTATTTTTACTGTAAATATTTTTAATAGGTAAACCTCTATAAATGGGCCATTTCCCATGGCTATGTTAAATAGCCAGGGGGTACATTTATGTTTGTGCAGAGTATTTCTTTTCACTTGAAGGTTGGCGACACTAGTGCCAACTCACATGGGTTTATAGGTCAGTTCGGTTGTAGAAATGGCATGTGGCATGAGACTAGCAGAATCTGCTCCAGAGACAATTCAGAGGGGCCGCCCCGCTTCCAATGGCTCAATTGAAGCAGTGACAGGGTAGACTTAGTGTGGACATTTGCAAAGCATGATGGACCGACCTGGCTGATGCCGAGCATCAAGAATTCCATGGTGTTGCTGGCGCAAGTGTTTTTCTCGGATTTGCGAGTAGACAATTTTCAACAGCCATTCCTTAGGTTTCGCAGCACGTACTTTCAACATCCTGGCCTAGTTGCAGTCGTTTTGCACAATTATATAAAAAACTTAACATGTGGTAAGCAAGTTGGTGATTGCCATGTTCCCAGCATCAAGTAGGCATGGCTCAACATCGAGTGGTTGGTACAGCAAACCAGGACTTCTTCCTTAACTCATCTGTCATTTGTGGGTGCGAGCTTGTAACATCTGACCAGCGACCACAGAAAAAAAGATAAAACAAGTCCTACGTCATCCCCCTGGTCCAAAGCGGCACCCCCAGTCACAAGTTGGTTTCACACCACTTTCTATCCCCAACAGTTTCGCCTAGCCCAAGATCTACTGTAAGCGTATCGAAAACAACCGTTTGCCCCAACTCCAAGCCAACCCAGTTAGAGCTTAGTCACAACCTTCTTAATGATCATTTTCCCATATTTTCCCCCTCTTTGGTGGCCATAACCATGCTCTCCTCGCCCGGTGGAAGCGCTACCTGGCTTGGTGCCAGCGAGCTTGGCGCGAGCGGAAAACACCGCGCCGTGACAGCGGTTAGTGAAAGGTCAGGGAAACCCGGGAAGATCCTTGGAGAGATGGGGAAAGCTAGTGATAGTGAAAGTAGAGAAGCAAGACACGTAAGAAATATGCACAAACAACTAAATAAACGGACAATTACATGAACAAATAGGCCAACACACACACACACACATATATATATATACACATTTTTAATAGGTTTTGCCGCCATTTTTGTTACGCAGGGAATTTGAGATTGGTCATTGGACACCTCCAAAACTTCTTTCCGAATGTCAACTGGGGCACGAGTTCTCCAACAGCATTTCACCTTTCTGGGAGGAATAAGCCGCTTCAAAGTTGGGAACGCAGGTCTCCAGGTGCCAAAATATGTGGATATCCGTCCACAAAGATCTCACATTGTATCACTTCATGGAGGTAGATGAGACATCGAGAGAAAGAGAGAAAAGAAAAGGTGAACTTAGATAAGGTAGATAAGTAGATAGGATGGATCGATGGATGCGTGGATGGGTAGATAGTTGATGGGGTGGCCCCAAAAACTGTTTGCTAGAAGGCGGTGTCTTTTTTGAGGTGCCAATGAGATTTACCCCCTTTCCGGATCCTCCATCTGCCCTCAGGATGGCCAAAGTGCCAGGCACTGTGGGTGAGCCTCGGGCACTGTAGGGCTTCAAGGGTAGTTCAATGGGAGCATACTAGCTGCGTAGCTGGTGTAAAGAGGCTAAGTTCCTGGTGGGAACCTTTATGAATCAACCTACCGTGGCACCTATGTTCCGGCCATTGCTCCAATTGTTTGATAGAGGATCCTTGGTGCAGTGCAACCCTCATCCTGACTCGTGCCAGGGGTGTCGCAGCCACGCAGCAGGGCCCCCCACAGCGAGTGAAAGCAAATGCAGCTACACCAGGCTGGAAATGAAGCATGAAATACACTAACTGGTTTCTCCTGACTGCAGCTGGTATCGTTTGTTAATCCAACTTTTACTTGCTATTCCGGAAAAAACGCGCTGGAACTCCCCAAAAAGCGCTTGTGTTGGAGGACTTTCCATGATTTTCCTATTGAATATGGGCAAGTATGGTCACTTTCAGATCTTTCAAGTTTGCCTTTCCACGCCCTGAAAGCTATGACAGGCCAACTGCGGAACTACTAGGTTTGACCTTGGCCACTGCCCTTTTGCCTCCTCCACGGAAGGGTCGCAGCTGTAGTGCCTTGGTCGAAGCGGTTCCACGGCCCAACGATGGCGCGCTCAAACGCATTGGGCGATTTGGGCTGTGGACCAAGCTGGACCTCGAGATCCTTCAGGCAGATGGATTTGTCAATGAGGATATCATGGGGATTCAACTACTAAAAATGGGCATATAATGGGAATATATATATATATATGGGTATGTTGGGGATTTCAAGAAATTCAACCATATTTATTTGGGATATGATGCGAACTGATTCCCATTTTTTAGACAGGTTGAAACCGCAAACCAGCCATTGAATGGCCACCAAAGTCGGAGGAAGCGGAGGGTTAACTGATAAACATCCTAAAGTTCTTGAGTACGATTTTTTGAGACATACCCATCTGATCGCCATGGGAATCTAAATTGAACAAATGATGATACTGATGGTTGATGCTTGGGATTCATGATTAATCCATCCGAGAAAACATCATCAGTGATCCGGCTCTGATGGTTCATCTTAGGTTCGGAAAAATTATGACAACAAATCCAGGATGCCAACAGATCCATGAGACGGGACAGCCCAGCAGGTGTGGCCCTCTGCTGTGGCCAATCTGATCTTGCCCGCTATAATTGGCGCGGTGGACATGTTGTGGATAGGACAGTTAGGTGGGGATTCTGGAGATTTCTGCCCTTGGTGCTTTGCTGTGGATGGCCCATGTCTGATTGTAGACAAATCAAATCGAACTGAAACAGTAACAGTGGTCAATTATGTTTCTTAGTCTTTAGTAGATTTCATTGCTGTACTCATGTTTGATATGGTTGATCATATCATACCTTATATTACAGCACTTGTCACCGGCAACATCGATCTGACAGCTTGGTCAGGGGATCCACATGCCATGGCTGGTGTGGGAGCCACCAACCAAGTGTACAACACCATCTATTTTCTGGTGGGCTTTTTGCCCAACCTCGTCACCCCGTCTGTGGCTGAGGCGCGGCTTGCAAAGGGCTGGGACACCAACTCAGATACTTACATGGCCCGGTAAGTGTGGTCATGATATGTCAAGATATGTCATAGAACAAGCTCTGCTCAGTGCTCAGCAGGGTTCCCCGCCCAGGAGATTCGCAAGGGACGGCCCAAGAAGGCAGCGCAATGGACGACTGAAGCACTGAGCTTCGCATCGTTGATGGGTTTGCTGGGAAGCGTGGCCTTGGTGTCTTGGTGGAGATGGGTGCAGCTGTCAACTTGGCCACAAGTGCCACAAAAATCACACAAAAAAGTCAGGAAAGTGGCTAAACATATCCCTGTTCCCTATAGATTGCTGTGAGAAATTCCAGGGTTCTGTTCAAGCGATGATTTGTTTCCATGCCATCTTTTTGAGATCATGACCTTGATCAACCGGCATTTGTTTCCAAAGATCTAGCCACCACGAGACCCAAAGAGGGCAGATGAGTAGAGAAATCAGTCTTACAAGAGAACACACATGACAGGATTTCGTTGGGGGTGAACGGATGGTGAGAGCATGCGTTCATATTCCTTGGTGCTCACATAACTCCAGTGAGCTAGACGACTCTCAGGTTTTCTTCCCCCACACGGTGCTAAAGCTGGTTGCAGACAGCCCACAGGCGGCCTGGGACTGCATCCCGAGAGCCCGGTTGGAGGTTTCAAATTATTGTGTTTATAGAATCAGACGGGAAAGACAATCATCATTAGTGAAGAATTACAGATATTTAGTTGCGGAATTGTACATCATGTGTATTTCATTATGTAGGTTTAGGTATATATATTTTTTTCTTTTCTAGTCAGCACATGCACATACATACATACATACATACATACATACATACATACATACATACATACATACATACATACATATTGATTGACCCATGTAATGCTTATAACGTGAAAATCATATTCTGGGTTCCTGGGCGCTAATTCTGGGTTCCTGGGCGCTAATTCTATGTTCTTTCATGGTTCTGGAACTAAAGTGCTGTGGAAATAGAATTTGACTTTTGCAATGTCCAAGTTTGGGTTCCTTTGACCATAAGGGGTTCGGCTATCAGATTCTTAACCCAGAACCGCCCAGGATTGCCCAGGACTTCCCACGACTACCCAGACACAGCCCAGGTACTACCCAGGAATCCTGGAACAGTTATGCTAAGCATTGCAGAACTATAATGCTTATCGTAAGTGTCACCGAAACGGTTTGGCGTCTATAATGCTTGGCGCAACTGTCAGGTCGATTCCTGGGTAGTACCTGGGTACTAACTTCTGCCAGGATGTACTTCAACACTACCCACGAAGCATCTCCAAGTTGTGACATGCATTAGACCGCGCTAGTGAGCTATCCCAAGCACCAGATGTCCTAGTTTTTGAGCGGTCAAGCACCAACTTTTTTGATCTCCAGCCCCTGACCGTGCCACCCTCGGTGCCCCGCACCGTGCCCCGGATTTTTGCCATGTTATAAGCGTTACGTGGGAAAAGCAACATACATACATACATACAGACAGACATAACAAAACATAACACAACATGACATGACATGACATACCATACCATGACATACCATGACATACATACACACATACATACAGACAGATACATACATGCATGCATGCATGCGTACGTACGTACGTACGTACGTACATACATACATACATACATACATACATACATACTACATGACATGACATAACATCACAATACATTACATTACATACATACAATAAAACAGTAAAACAAACAAACACACAAATAAATAATCCAACTAAATAAAACACACACACACATATATATATGTATATATATATATATGTATATAAATATATATATATATGTATATATATATATACATGCGTTGTTTCTTTTTTCCAGCCCCATTTCCATGCCTGGAGGTGCTTGCCCCGGCGGTGCCATATTGTCGCATCCGGGGGGTGTCATTGATCGCGACGCTGTGTGCCTTGGCGGTAGGTGGTGCCTGGAGAGGTGGAGTTTGCCCCAAAAAAACGATAGAAAAACCACGTGAAATGGTGGTTTAGCATGGTCTTAACCATCAACAAATGGGGATTTCATGGGATTTATTGGGATTTACTCCCTGGTAATTTGTTACATAGCTATGGAGAATCACCATTTTTACGAGGTAAATCATCTATAAATGGACCATTTGTGTAGCTATGTTAGTTTACTCGAGGGTAATAAGTACTGTGGCTCTGATTTTGCAAGAAATGGGTGGTGTAAATTATCGCCAGGGTTTGGGGTTCTCCTGAGAGGGAATTAACTGGAGAGGTGATCGCTGAGGACCCGTGGTTTGAACTAATACTGATAGGATTCGACGAGGCCTGAGAAACGGTGATGAGTTTCAGCTCTTTTGAATGTATGACACACACACACATATATATATATATATGCGAAGGGGAACGAGGTAACAGTGTAGCTGCACATGATGAACATGTGTACAGTCATGCATGGACCGCCAATGATATTGGCTCAAGTCCTGCGCGAGGAAAATAAGAACGCTGTCCGCATGCCATGCACTGAGATTGCCCGGCGCTATCAGCATTACTGGTACTACAGACAAAAGGGATAATCCAGAACAAGGATCAATTTGTTCACAGGTTATCAGCCGTAGGGCTCACTTCTCCCGCCGGGAGAGTGGTACCTGCGTGCTGGTAGCCGGGCCGTCTGAGCAATTGATTGAGGACGCAAAGGACCAATCAGCTCATCATCGCAAAGATGCAAGGCGGCAGCGGAGATTCGCGCACCACGCAGTTTACCTTCAATGAGAACGCTGCTATGCCGGTCGAGGAGGTCAATCAATCTTCCCCTGGCGACACGGCAGACAGTGGCGGGATACGCTCTACCCGAACTACACAGTCCGGATGGCAAGTCACATCAAACAGACGAAGAATATCCACCCAAAGTACACCTAGATCTTCTCGAAACAGTGCTCGGAGTGATGTTGTCCGCCAAGGGCATCGACCATCTCGAGGACGTACTACTCCAAGGGACAGATCCACCAGGGCCGTGACCGACCGAATTGGTGAGAGGACCGGGGATAGTCGTGTTAAGAGGAGATCAACGGATACTTCTGTGGCTAGTGAACCTATTGCCATGATAGAGGAACTACGGGCACAATGTCAATCCCTACGTAATCAGCTGAACAACATGGAAGCATACGCTGCATCCAGGGATCAACTGATTCATGACATCGAGATCAGATTCACTGAGTATCTTCGGGAACACAATCAGAATGTATTTGATGAGGTCAATGCACTCAATCATAGATTGTCATGTTCCGCAAATGAGGTTGCAGAATATCAAGCAGAACTAATGGTAGCATCTCAGGAAGACGAAGGTGCAACAATACGCATCCAAGACCTTGAACGCCGAGGTGCCCTAATGGAACATGGTGCACGACGGATCCATCAACGTGGTATGGAGATCCAGGAGGAGTACAAGGATGAAGTACATCACCTTCAAGGACTACTGGGTAATACGGAGGCAAGACTACAACAACTTCATCAAACCAATGTCTTAACCACCGATATTGCCAATCGACTATACAATGAAGGTCAAGAAATGCAAAATGATTTCCAGAACTCAATCATGGAATATCGTAATCGATCTGAAATGGCATCCTTCTCTAGTAATCAACTTGAAGTGATTAGCCAACAACAATCAATTGCAGTTCATGAATTATCTGAGCGAAATCAGCTATTGAGTGAAGCTTTGGTTCAGTCTCGTAAACAGGCCGAGCTGTATGAGAGCAGTATTGATGAGATCACTAGAGAATCTAGGAAGAAGGTGTTCGAGGCAAATCAGGCCAAATTGGAAAGTGATCTGAAGCATCGAAACACTGAACATGATACCGTCAGAAGAATTGCATCATACAGGAACCAAGAGGCCGAAGCAATATCTCACCTGAGGCTTGAATCACAGGCTAGTGCAAACTCGATCGCAAGGGCAGAGCACTATGAGGAGCTCTATGCCAACGAGCAGAAGATGAACTGCGAATTGAAGGATGAGATCAAGTTGCAGAACACGAAGTTACGAAGATCGTTGACTCAGGGTTCTACGACCGACGGTCGTGGCCCCGAAGAGATGCTTGTTGAAGATCTACGTAATCAAGCTAAGATCGCTCAAATCAGGGTTCAGGATCTAGATCATGAAGTTCATGAATGTTTACAAGAGAACTTGTTGTTAAAAGAAAGGTTGGCTGAAGTTGCGGATGTAGGGGCGTCGTCCCTCACCAATGCTGAGGTCCGAACTCTAAGATCTGAACTAGAGAGTGAGCGAAAATTGAAATTGGCGAGTGGTGTTCAACAATATGAGAGATCATGCATGTTCATGGGGGAAATCCAGGATAGGGATGAAAAGATTGGCATCAAGAATTCTGAGATTGTTGACATGAAACGTCACTTAGATGAACTGAGGAAAAGTCTCAAGGATTCTGAAACATCTATGGCTAGGATCAGTCCTGACACACTTCCCTATTCGGCAGGCATTCCCAACTCCGATCTCGCATCCAGACTGGTCATCGACAAACTGGAGAATGACGTGAGTGAGGCTAACTGTGAAAACGCTATTCTGAAATCTTGGGTTTCGCAGATCGACAAGGAGTTGACTTATGAGACAAATGTGGCTCATTCCTATCGTGGGCATGCTGTACCTCCTCAACAACAACAGCATTCTCAATCAAGCAAAAGAATCGCTGATCTGCTGAAAGAGGTTGACAACAAGATCGCTGGCGGAACTGAGAGGGACTATTACAAGCCACCGAGTGGATGGGGCGGTCCGCCTGACCCTGATGGACCTCCGGACCCTTTCGGGCCTAACGGTCCAGGACCACCTCCTGAACCTCCTGGTTTGCCTTCAGTTCGAGGATCACAACGCGATTCAGCAGATGATGTCTCCACAGCGGCTTACACTGCGGAAGAAGTACCGAGAATGTCAAGACGAGAGGCTGACAAAGTCTATGTTAGCCCATGGCCAAAGCAACAGAATCTTGGGGTTTGGCAATCAGATCTCATCAAGAGTGTTGTTCTTTCGGCAAATGACGGGGATAAAGCCGCATGGGAAGCATGGCTACAGCCGGCTATTCGACCAAATCCTGACATCGAGCTGTTGAATGACAGTGGGGGGCAACGGTATCAGTCCATCGACGCCAAGTTGTCAATTGCATTGTCAAACGTGATAGCCCAAGCCGGTGATGTTGCTCGTCATGTAGCGATCAAATTGAGATTGAGAACACAAAGTCATAGCCGAAGAGGAACCTATGTCATGGGACGGGAAATCTTGGCTATGATTCTGGAGCACTTCAGAACCCCAGGTCAACGAGAAACATCCTTCACCATGGAACACATCGTATCGATGAAGTATCTCGGTGACTCGAACCTAGAAGTGTTCTACGAGAAATGGATGGAGATGGTATCAAACATGATGCCGGATGACGTACCTCCTGATGATTGGCTTCGTGACGCTCTATACAAAAAGATTCGAAATTCGAGTCTTATGATGTTCGACATCAAGCAGTACGAGTCATGGATGGAAGGAGACCAAAGACGAAATTATCGCTACCTGTTGGATGTCATCGAAAGGCACATCTCCAGAATCAGAGAGGACAAGCATGTGGCAGCCAGAGAGAAGTATGCGAGAGACTTTGCAGGCGGCGGCAAACCTTCAGCTCCTGCTCCGAACCCAACTGCCGCTGCACCGGATGCAAATCCAAAAGCGAAGCCTAAAGCTACTCCCAAGGAGAAGGCAGCGCCCAAGGCGAAGGCCAAGGCCGATGCAGCTCCAG